AACTATGATGTGCCACAGGCAGAGAACAGGGGGGAGTGAGGTGCATCAGAGCTGGAGTGACATGGAAATGATTACGTGAGCTATACCCAGATATTCCTGGCCAGTGACCCACACCCACCTGCTGCAAAGGAAGGCGAAAAGCCAGTCAGACCTGGAGAAAAATGTCTGTCCAACCCCACATACTGTGCTCAGTTAGACCCTGAGCATGTGAACAAGAACTATCCGGCCAAGCTGGGAAAGAGAATGCTCAGTGCCACTTCTAAGCCCTGGCCCTCCCCTTCAAGTGTCTCCTCTCCAGCTGTGGCCATCCCTGATTCTTCAGAGGAAGGAGATTAAAAAAACCCTTCCCGACCCCTGCATGTGGCTGACAGCCTGAAGCAGGAGCTATTAGGAGCCTAAAACATCTGAAATCCCCGTGTAGACAAGGGTATGCCGCTACTAGTGAGTGACCAGTGCGCAGAGCCTTCTGTTTTGATCACCTCACTTAGGAACAGCTGGCTGGAGTTTGCCCAAGATTTCCCAGGTAATCTCCTGTGGGAGGATATGTCACACGAAGAGCTGCAACCACAAAGTTCTTAGAAAGTTTGGGACGAGCACAAACTGTTTTCATGGCCCTTGCAAGGCAGCCGTCGCTTTAGCTTTCAGTGTTGCACTAGCTAGAGTGACTGCAGTAGAGTTATTGCAGGGGGTGGGTTGCTCTAGACTCTTTCCTTGGCAGCGAGTCAGCTATTGGCCATGCTAGCAAGCTACATACCCATCTTCCCCTTTTGAGATCGAGTTAGAAACTTGTTCCTAGTCTGTCAGCGTGTGGATACATCGTAGGTGAAAACAGTCAGCCTTCAAAGAGAGCGGAGCTCGCCAGAATATTTTCATCCATTTTTTTCCCCAATGAAAAATGACTTTTGGAAGAAAACTAAAACGTTTGAGAGAAGGTCTTTATTTTTTTCCTCTAAGCCTTGCATGCAATCCTTTGACCCGTTCCCTCCTATTTACCCCTCCCCGCACACAGGAGAAGTTTCCCTTCCAAATCATTCATTTCACTTCAATTTGGGAGAATTCCTCCCTTTGGAAGAAAGGGGGCATGGAATGGAGTGAGGGAATGAAAAAACAGGAGAAGAAAAGCCAAAGAAATGAGCCAAAACAGATGGAGGAATTTTTGTTTGGTCAAAATTCAAAATTTTGTTTGTGCTGTGTCTTTCCTGGGACGTTGTCCCCACTTTGGGTTTGGGATGTGGGGGAAGGGCATTTGCTGTCCTTTGCAGCTATCCTCACCAAGCCTGCTATTGGCAAATGCAGTAGTGAAAGATGTGCTAAGGAACGGGGCTTGTTTTAGTGCCTTGTGCCCCTGCTGACGGTACCACCGTCAAAAGAAGGCACAGAAATGTCAGCTCACTCTCTCCCTGAATCAGCAAGCTCTGGGCTTCCCTTGGACCTACGTTGTAGTGATTCTTAGGCCCTCTTAAAAGAGGGAATGAAACAACTGAAAATCCATGCAACCCACCAGGGGCTCCCTGCCTTCCAGGGATGGGTGAAGGGATGTTGAATAGCTGGGAGGAGACCTGCTGTGTCCGAATCTGCCAACAGTCCCAGAACGGCAAAACCTGAAGGGCTGCTGCTAATTCTCCTTCTGGCCTTGCTCCCGGCCAGCCACGGGAATTTTTTGGGACAGTTCTCAGCCGATATAAATTGCTTCGGCTCTGAGAATTGATAGCAGCTGAGTGTCTGGGGCTCTGTGCCTTGACTCTACCCAGCTGTCAGCCAGCTCTTTACCTATTGGACAGGGAGTTTTGTGCTGGTGCAACCAGAACCTGAAGGACATCTTCAGGCGGGCCGCTGATGCTGCATGTAACTCTTTGGTGCTTCCTAGAGCTTGGCCTATGATACTAGCCCACCTGGCATCACTTCCTGGTTCTCTTGCACTAGTTGTTGTGCTAAAAAGTGCAGCACGTCTCTTGTTGGAGGTGGCTGAACTTCACAACTTGCATAGTGCCCCTCTGTTTAGTGACACTTGGGGTCTCTAACCTACACTGGGGACCAACACTCATGAATGATTTCTCCTTGCCACAGGCTGTCATCCCAAACGAGGCCACTGCTGTAGTGCTGTGGCTGAGCTTAGGAAATTAGGGCATTCAGGGGGCTGGGCAGTAGAGGGAGAGAACAAGGCTGGAGAACAAGAACGGAGGAAGTGACAACTGCTGCTGCTTGGAGAAATACAAGCCAAGCACGCGCCCACTAGAACAGGCTAGATGAGAGCTGCGGCGTGAGGCTCACACCTGCTGATCTATTTCCGTGCAGGGCTGAGCCGTGGTTTCCCAAGTGACCAGTCCGGTCTGAGCACCAGCCCATGTGAGCGGCCGCCTTGCGGCTGCCCCTGCTCTTGAGCACGTCAGTCATCAGAAGCTCTCTTGTTGCTTTGTGTGCTCGTTCCGAGGGTGTTCCGAGGGTTGCCTGGCACCGCGTTGATCTGGGAGCCTGGCTGGGAGTGGGAGCAGGCAGGTGCAGGGCTGTCGGGGACTCTGACTGGCTGCAGCCCTTGTCTCTGCTTCCCCAGATGCGGCTGTGGCTGTTGGCTACCACATCCCACCCACAGCGGGAGCGGGGCAGGAGGCTTCTGAGGCAAATAAAGGATTTGTTTGTGGGCGGCATGTCACCCTCCCCCTGACTTAGCTGTGGCTCCCTACTCAGGAGATTGGCTCCTGCTGCTTATAAATGCCCTAAACCAGCACACTTGGGTCGAATGAGCATCTTGCTTTGGCTCGTGGATCCAAATCGGAATTGGAGCGAACGGTCCAGCTGGGCCCTCAATGTTCCACTCTGGGGGCTGCTGGACGGAGGCTGCCAAAGTTCCTCCAGAGGTTGGGGGAGGGGGACCAAAGCCCTGCGTGAATCCTGTGAAACCAGCGCTGGCTGCCTGGGTGTTGCGTAGGCTGTGAGCAATGGAACTGTAGCCATGTCACTCCCAGGTTGCTAGAGAAACACGGCGGGTGAGGTTCTCTCTATTATTGAATCCACTTCTGCTGGCTCGCGCAGCCAGAGGAAGAGCGCTGTGTGGCTCACACGCCATTGGTGAGAGAAACCAGAAGTTGGTAGAGTAAAAGAGGTCACCTCACCCACCTGGTGTCTCTCTGGATGTCCTGTGGTCCTAGCGCTGCCATAGCTCTCATCTAGCCTGTTCTAGTGGGCGCGTGCTTGGCTTGTGGTGGGAGGCAGTGTGGCTGGGATTAGGTGTAAATATAAGGGGGTAGTTGGGATTTTTTTAATTGGTCTCCTCCCAGTACCAAACGAAAGGGGAATGGCTGGAAAAAAAATCAGGATCTTGAGACTGACAGTTGCCAGAGAAATGGGGAGAGGCCAAAACTCTAGGTGAGTCTGATTGACGGGACTGGCAGGCCAATAAGGAAGCCCAAGGGCCCATCCTCCGCATGAGTTGGAGCTGCCTAAGCCATAGTTAAGGGGAGAGTAGCAGCAACAAGAATTTGGGGGGGAGGGGCAAGAGAAGCAGCCCCGGCTGAGCATGAAGCCGGGTTGGGGGGAGCCAGAGCTGGGGCAGTGCAGACCAGCGTGGCGCTGTGGGGCCAGAGCCAGGTTGACAGGTTGGTCGTGCCACACGTAACATGACGGCAGAGGGTGGTGAGCCGCTGAGCAGAGCGATGGTGGCTCCAGATAGATGACCTAGCACGGGCAGATGTCACCAGACTCAGAGCGGGGGCCATGGCTCCTGACGTGAGGGCCACTACTGGGGTGAAGGGTCCCTTCTGTCTGGAGTTCAGGGCACATGGCTGCTGTCAGAGCCGGGGTCCGACCTGCAGTGCCAGGGCCTGGCATGTGAGAGGAGCAGGCTGTGAGCTTTCCTCCCATCCCCAAGGCTGCTGTTCGTGGTGCCCACAGGGAGGGGCCCCTCTTCATTAAACTGCAACTGTATTGAACTTCATGTCGTCCGGGAAGTGGCTGGTGTGCAGAGAGCGCCCCAGTGTAGGGACACCAAGTCCCTGGCCTGAGTGACCCGGACGGGGCTGGAGGTGACATCCCCCACCCCCCGGAATTCTGGGCCTGGAATTGTTGGGATTATGGGAACCCTGCCGCTCGGGAGGCTGGGAGGGAGGAGAGTCGTTGAGGAAAGGCAGGCACTTGGGTAAAATGGGTGGGACCGAGTAGAGCCTTTCGCTGGCCGATTCCACCAGGGTCGTGCAGAAGCCGGGGAAGTTCCCCTCCAATAGTGGGATCGTTCCCCCGCTTTGATAAGGAAGCAGGTGGTACTGGGCTGGCTCATGTCTCCCAGCTCTGCTTCCGGCAAGGGGGTGCTGGCTGTGTTTGTGATTGCTGTTGGCAGGCCTGCTGCAGGACAGCTCTCCCCCCCACTCCCCTTTCTGTGAAAACCCTGGAGCATTGCAAAACAGGAGCACTGGGGGGCCACCTCTTCTACTCTGCAGGTCGGCTGCTGAGCCTGTGTGTGGCCATGCGACAGGCAGTGTTTTAAAATCCCGGCACTGTCTTGTCCCGGGGGAGTCCTGCTCAGGAGAGGCTGAGGGCTGAGCTGGCAAGGTGCCCAGAGACCAGGGTGATGGACCTAGGCTCGCCAGCCCTTCTGCAGCATGGGAGCAGGTCTGACAGGCCCTCCCCCGCCCCATGCGCTGTGCTCACCTGCCCGCCCTGAAGGCAAAGCTCCTGCTGGTGTGCTCTGTGGAAGGGGCAGACTCGGGGGGACCTGGGTCTCTCAGGTATTATTTGTGGCGAGTGAGGCTCCCTGCAAATGAGTCTGATGAAGCCACCCAGGCCCCATGTCAGAACCTGATGGGCATCAAGCTGCCCTGGAGACTGATCCCAGAGGGAGCCTCTTCATTTGAGACCCTTCCTAGGAGCCTGGAGGTGGGAAGGGGTCTGGGGCTCAGCTGTTCCCATGTGAGGCTGGTCCCCACAGCCTGAGCCCAGGGCGCAGGAACGGGAGAGGCAGGAAGGAGCAGCTCCCAATGCATTCCCATTACTGTCCTGTCTCTTTTCAGCTGCTGAGCCGGGCCTGGGCCCTGGCATGTGGGGAACAGGAGTACCGGACTGTGGAGGGGGGCTGTGCCCCTTGTGTGGGGTGTCCCCCCGGAGAAGAGCCTGATAGGGTAAGCCATTCTGCCTACTGCTTTGCACGGAGCTGCAGGATTGCAGCTTGAGCATACTGCCTGGGCAGGGGGTGGGCGGGCACAGGCCGTCTGTCCTTCACGAAGCGAGCGGCTTGGCAGATTGCATGGAGGGGCGGGGGGAGGAGATCCCTCCCAGTCCTAGCCCAGCACAAACCAGGAGCCAGCCATGGGCAGCCTTTGTGCTGTGGGCTGGCAGGATTCAGTCCCAGTCGGTGCTGGCTGGTCCCCTGGCTGGCAGCCCAAGCAGAGAGGCTGTGAGTGGAACGGGTTACGGAGACTGGGCTTCACCTCGCACTCGCTGCAGCTCGGAGAGGAGGCCCGTGGCCGCGGAGAAGGGCTTGCCACGCTGCATCCCCGCGCCGTGGGGCGGCCCCCAGCTCCACTCCTGACTCCGTCTCCGTTTGGTTTCCTGTAGAAGTGCGGCTCTGGGCAAGGCCTAGGAATGTCCTGTCAAGCCTGCTCTCCGGGCACCTTCTCGGCCAGCCACAGCCTGGCCCCCTGCTCGCCTCAGACCCACTGTGAGGCCAGGAAGAGGGTCCGCGCCAGCCCTGGGACAGCTGCAGCAGACAGCCAGTGTGGAGGCTGCATGCCAGGGTAACTTTGCTTTCCAGCTTGGCCTTGTGGGAGCAGATGGGGCTCTCCTGGGGGCGGGACCCTGGCCCTTTCACAGAGCTGGGTGGCACCTGTAAAAGGAGGGTCCCAATTCTTGCCAGCCTTCCAGGGGTTAATCATGCGTATGGCGCTCCGTTGGACAGGGCCCAAATCCCGCTGTTTTGGCGGATTGGCTCTGGGCGCTTGGGCACAACGGGTGGCTAGCTAGGGCCCTTCTCCAGGGTGTTATTAGTAGATCGACGACAAGTAAGCAGGGCTGGCAAAGTGCTGTTGAGTGGGAACGCTTCAGGCTGCCTGGCAACCTCAGTTCACCATACAGAGCAGAAATCCAAGCTGCTGAGTAGGAAGGCGGTTGCCTGCGAGTGTCTGCGTGAGTCACTAGAAGGCAGTTGGCTGAATTCCTCCAAGCCTGTACGCTTCAGGCCAGAAGGAGGGGAGAAACTCACTTAGTCACCTCTCTTGCTCTGGGCTCTTGTGAGTCTGGCCAATGCAAATCCACTGAGTCAACGGCAGGGAGTGGAAGAGATTTGGGGAAGGGGAAACTGTCTTGCACTTTGCCCTGAAATGCTCCTGAAGCACAGTGTAAAATAGCTAGACATGGCTTTGCCCCATGGCTGAAATGCAGCCACTTCTGGGGTGGGAGTGGACATGTCAGATGCTTAGTGCAGCGTCAGAAAGAAAGCGAATAACCTAACATCGCCTGTTTCCATTGTAGTCAGACTTTGAGCTGGACTTTCTAATAGCCCACAGAAGCCCTGTGCGCTGTTTCACAGCCACCTGTGGTCTCATTCTTTTTTTGGTCCTTTGCTCTTGGCAGGTTTTACAGCCCTGAAGGAGAGATGGACCCAACAGCTGAATGCCTGCCCTGCTCCTCTGCTCCCCAAAGCATGCCAGGCTGCCCAGGTCAGTGTAAACAGGGAGAGGGGACTGGTCACGCTTGGGGTTACAAAAAACCTGTGGGCAGAAGGGTGGGGTTCTCTGGTGGGGCACAGGAGTTTTGTTAGGGCCAGATAGGAGGAGAGTCTCCTTTTGGGAGCTTCTGCTGCCCAATGAGGCTGTCTCCTTGCCGTGTGAGAAGGCAGGATTCGAATCACTACATGCATGGCCAATTCACTGCCCTGCCAGACCTGCTATCACCCAGGGCCAGCCTGCAGCTGCCTGCCACACAATCATCGACCTGGAGATGTGGGAGTCAGAGAAGGGGGCAAACAGGCTGTTGAGCTGAGCTCCAGCAGCACATCCGGGATGGGGGTGAGGAGGTGGGGGAGGAGGATGGGCTTTCTCCTGTCCTTGCAGCACACCTGGTCTCTGCTAGACAGGCAGAGAGAGGTATTACAGGCCGAGTAGTACTGGCCACCTGTCTGGATGGGGGCCTGTACTTTTGGGCTGGGCCCGTTGGGGTTTCTGAGACCACCTGATCCGCAGGGCTTCCATCAAAGGGTAGAAAAAGCCCAGGGTCTTGGCTCAAAGAATTGTGCAGCAGCAGAAGATGGCAGGGGCCCAAGGGTTTGGCTAGCACATTCCTCGAGCTATTTCAGTCCTGCCGTGGCTCTGCCTCGCTAGTAATGTGTTTAGAAAGCTCTCCTGTGTCGGAGCTTCGTTAAAGCTCTTTGGCGGGGGTGCAGGGCGGACCGGGGAGAAACTAAAAAGAGAAACTGCCTGGAATCCACTTGTTCTTCTGTAGAGCTCTGGCGCCCCGTTGTCCTGATTGATGCATGCAGGGGCAGAGTGGGAGGCTGCTCTAAGTGCCTGTGACCCAGAAACGGCTTTCAACGTGAGCTCCTGAGGCTCGAGATCTCCACCTGTGACCCAGAAATGGCTTTCAACGTGAGCTCCTGAGGCTCGGCTTTGTCTCGGGTCTACAGTTTGCACGATGTCTAGCCCAGCAAAGCCCTGGCCCGTGGGCCCTTTTGCAATTCAAACACCGTGTGTAAGCCAGAGACCCCTGCACTGCGGCTACTTCTAGGGTGCAGCTAATCCACGGTTGTCACCGTGCGCCGCAATGCCACCGCTCTCGGAGGGGCTAACACCATGGCGGGTGGAACCTGCCAGGGGAATTGAGGGAGGTGGGGTTTGGTTAGTGGGGCAGGTAATTCGAATAATGGTTAAAACTCACAACTGCAGGCACCACACGTGGCTGGTTACGGGGATTGTGTTTGACCCACCCAAACCCACGGTGTCAGTGCCAGGTGTGTGCACACCATGTATCTGCCTGGCTGCATCCCAGGCATGAGGCTGCCACTCACCTGCACCTGGGCCTCCCCTTCCAGGTGCTCGGGGGTGAACGAGCTAGTTAGACATCCCCGCACGCTCCTGCAATGGCTCTAGCTGCTGTGCAGGCTCCTCACCCTGCGATGAGTGTGGGGGGCATTGCAGCGGGTCTGGGGGGCATTCAGGTCTGGGGGGCATTGCAGCGGGTCATGTGGAGCTGGATGTCAGGAAATGGACTCTGTCTATAAAGCAGCGGTGTGCTTCACCCACAGTCACCTGGAGCCTGCTAGTCTAAAGTGCCTGGAGGCAGTGGTTTGGATCCCAGCAGGTTTGGCCTTTAATAACCTTGATCCTGAGAGGCCATGAAAGCTGCCAGGGTGCAAGAATACGGTGCTTTGCCCCTGCCCATAACGTCCATGCCCTACCTGGCTCATCCCTACAGGTATCCACCCAGCCTCACCATGGAGCATGGTGAAGCTGGGAGGCTGCTGTTGGGCGCATAGAGGTGTGAGGCCTCTGGGGCCGAGTAAATGCTTCCGAGAGCTCCTGGCTAAGGGAACTGGGAAGGAAAACTTGGAGGGTAGCCTGGTGGGGAGTCCTCTGCCAGCCTGTTGCAGTTCAGCTGTGCCGTCTGACCCTGGTGTCCCTCCCCAGAGAGGTCGCACCAAGGTTGGGAGTGGAGACTGGGTCTGAATAGTTTACTTGGCCATGAGCGGCTCCCTCTCCTGCTCGTGCCTGGTGGGAGGCTGGAGGGAGGATGTGCGTTTGAGGAGAACTCCAGCCCGCTTCTTCCTACGATTTGGTCTCTCTTCTCCCCGTCTGGCGGTGAGGGAGCTAAAGGGAGCTGATTCCCCGGCCCTTCACCAGTGACCACGCAAGCCCCATCCCCACTGTGGGCGTATCAGAAATCTAACCCCCGGCTGGGGATCAGAATTGCCCAGAGCTGAGTGAGGCTGGGCCTACACAAGCTCTTTTGTTGGCAAAACTTTTGTCAGTGAGGGGGTGTGAAAAATACACCCCAGCAGACAAAAGTGCCCGTGTGGCCGGCGTTGTGTTGGCAGGAGAGCTCTTGCCAGGGTGAGGCACTGCCACAGACCAGCCAGAAGCCGGTCAGGGTAAAAGCAGTACAGGTAGCTGAGGGGAGTTGTAGCCCCTAAACCTGCCCTGGGAAGAGAGTCTGGGGGGAGCAGGGCCATGGGCTGGGGCTGCTCGTGGGGAGGCTCCCCCACCCCAGGCAGGTGGAGCATCCCAGGCTCCCTGGGCTGCTCTTACCTGGGCCAGGCTCCAACTTCCGGCCTGGGGTCGGGGCAGAGGAGTGGCAAGGGGCCAGGCCTGTGGTGAAAAGTGCAGGTGGGGGGCAAAGAAGGGGCCCGGTGCAGGAAGGGGACCCACCGTAGGACCCTTTGCTCCATGCAAGGTTGAAGAGCTGGGTGTGGGCTTGTTGAAAGAAGGAGGGAGACTCTGAGGTGGACGGGAAGCCTGTGCTCTGAGGGTTGGGGGGGTGCTGTTTACATGCCTCCAGGCCCTTTGGGCCTGTCCTGAGCCAGCCATGACTGTCTCTTTCCTGGGTGGTGGCAAGAGCTGGAAGCTAGAGCCACTTCCTGCAGCAGATCAGGATTGTAACTTGAAATGCGTCAAGGAGGCACGGGCCTGGCACCCCAGATCCCAGCCACTTCGGTGTTCTGGTGCGGGGCACCAGCTCTCCAGCCCCAGGGGCTGGGCATAGAGCACCAGCTGAGTCTTTCACAGGCCCCTCAGTAACCTCCAAACGGCTTTTATTCCTCAGTTTTCAAGGAAAAACTGAAATCAGCCCCCCCCACCCCACCTGACAGTGTTTCCAGAAATATCAACCGAAACCTAGGAGATGGGAGCCAAGAAATGAATGTTTCCACTGAAAGCAGGCAGTTGGAGCCTACAGTAACTGCCTGCAAAGGCATGTGCCCTCCCTCTTACCCAAAAGGCCTCGCTCTTTGCAAAGGAGGCAAATATCCCCATTTTATAGCAGAGGAAACTGAGGCACCAGGTCACCCAATAGAACCAGGACTAGAACTAGGGATGTTAAATATCGGTTAATCGAGTAGTTGAGTAACCTCTGAATTCTTATTGGTTAGTCAACTATTCTATAGTCCCCGGGGGCGGGGCCAGCAGCCAGTGCGCTCCGGCCATGCTCCCGAGGAGTCCCCTGCCACTCTGCACTGCTGCCTCAGTATCAGAGGCAGCAGCGCAGGATGCCAGGTGTGAGCTGGTCCACGAGGGGAGCCAGTTTTAAAACCAGCTCCCCTCGCAGACTGGCTGCCTGTCGCCCTGTGCTGTTGCCCGGACTCGTCACAAGCCAGGACTGAGCTGGGCTGCTGGTCAGCCTGCTAAAAAGAATTACTGGCAATGGCGGGGGATAGGAAATCTGTGTACTTTATAGCATTAACCTATAAGCTTTCGTTTATCGGTTAATTAGTGAATCGACTACACGATTACACCCCTAACTAGACTCTATCTGGTGATCATGACACTTGGCCACCTACAGTGACCAGCTCTTTTTTAACCCTCTCCCTCCAGAGCCAAAGCCGTGGCTACCCCGTCTGGTGAGGAATGTGGAGGCCCGGCACAGACGGGACGAGAGGGCGGCGTCCAACGGCACGCGGGAGGGGAAGCGGGAGGAAAAGGCCACGCAGTATGCCGTGCTGGCCATCGTGCCAGTCTTCTGCCTCATGGGCCTGCTGGGCATCCTCGTCTGCAACCTCCTGAAGAAGAAGGGCTACCACTGCACGGCCCACAAGGAGACGGATGAGGAGATGGTGAAGGTGGAGAGAGGCGGTAAGGACTGCGAGGAGGGTTCTGAACTTTCCCCGTGATCTCTACTGGAGCACTCGTGCCTCGCATGGGCTAGGGCAAGCCGAGGGCGTCCCAGCGGTAGGTGGGCATTGTGTTGCCAGATCTCCACCACGGAGCGCTGCCTCTCTAGCTCCCCTCCCTGGCTGATCGGAGAATGGCAGTCTCGGTGCCCGCCCTTTGGGTGGGGCGACAGGCAAACCAGGAAATACCTGAGAAGGGTGGATTGTGATAGGGAAGCACGAGACCAGCCCCAGCATGGCAGAGGGGAGATTGGTCTCTGAGGGTATGTTTAGACGACATAGCTCCGTCGACGGAGCCTTTGTTGACCGCTTCCTTATGCCTCGTGAAACGAGGTTTACTGGAGCGATCAACAAAGGTTTCCCTTGTTGACCGATCCGCGTCTAGACTGCCACGCTGTGCCGGATCAGCTGATTGTCGGCACAGCGCGGCGGCCATTTTTATTTTAATGAAGCAGGGATTGTTTAAATCCCCGCTTCATTGACTATGTCGGGTAAACTAGTTAACATGGCTCTGTCGATGGAGCTATGTAGTCTAGACATACCCTGAGTGTCCCATGCCACTTGGTGGGCACTGTGGATGGGGGCAGTTCACCGCCCCAGTGCACTTGTTCTAGGCAGGCTGCCAGCAGCTAAGGCCCTGGGACCTCCTGTCCACCCAAGATGCAAGGATCAGCTGTGCTGGGGAGAGGGGAAGGGAGCAGTGTGCTGTTGAATTCTTTTAAAGATCTTCTGTGATAAACACCTTTGTCACCAGCTCCTTCCTTTACCCCAGGCGGCCTTATTTCTTTGTCTGCTTTTGGCTCCTTGCTCTCTAAACAAACTCCCTCTCTGTAGTGGGGGAGGGGAAAGGAAGGAAGGTCCCCCCTCATCAGACCCACCCTGCCCAGCCTGGGACTGATCAGCTCACCCCTCCTCTCACTGCTCCATCTCTGTACACCCTGCCTTGCCAGGGAGCCATCACGGAGCACAGGGGTGCTTTCATGGGAGGAAGGGGGATTGGCTGGGTGCACTTACGAGCGGGGGTGATGGTGAACGCTGTGGACACGGGGTTGAGAGGATGCCAAAGAGAGCCTGAAAGGCCAACTTCCCCTGGCGGCACACGGAGTTCTGTTGGCGCCGAGTGGCTACGTTGCCTCGCGTCTGGCTGCTATCGCTCTGCGCTTCATGGGCTGGGGGAGTGCTAGTCCAGTACATGGGTCGGACCCAGTTTCCCCCAGCAAAGTGTCTCTCCTGCCCAAGGACCTCAAAGCATTTTACAGCTGCAAATTCTCAGCTCTCTCAGGAAGACGGTTTTATTCCCCATCCTACAGCGGAGGGATGGTGGTGGCAGCGGTGGGTTTGACTGACTCTTGGCCCCCTCCTTGCACCATCAGTCTCCCTCTCTGGTGGAAGGTGCCTTGGGGGGGGGCAGCAGAACCCCCCCAAACACACTCCAGTGATACAATTCACCCTGGTGCAGCTGCAGTGACTGTACCTCCCCTTCCTCCTCCCTCCCTCCCCGCCTTCCGCCAACCCTACAGCTGAGGGGGAAATTATGGCTCCTTCTCTACTACCCTCTTCCATGCCCCACAGGTCCTGGGGCGTGGGGATACCCCCACAGGGTGCCTCATTCCTGGCAGTGATGGCAGACCCCCTCCCACTAACTGTGTGCTGACATAGCTGACTGCTGCAGGGGAGGGGGGGCTGACCTGGAGGAGCCAGAGGAGGAGTCACCCCCAGCCTGTGAGTTCCTGAGCTCCCCTGCCAGTGCCTGCGTGCTGCTCCCTGCTGCAGGGAACAAAGCCATGATCAGCAGGTTACCTCAAGGGCAGGAGCTGCTGCAGGAGAGCCTCTGCGGTTACACGGGCTAGGACTGAATGGTGCTGTCAGGGACTCGCCAGCCTTGGGAGAGCAATAGGCCGTGACAGGCAGCATGAAGTGGGGGAGAGGAAGGGGGCACCCAGAACACCCCCCACTCACCTCCCTGCTACTGTACTGTGCTGCCCCGCTGTGGTGATAAGGGGGCACTGCAAGTGTGTGGGAGCTGGGGTGCTGAGCCCACTGTGCTTTGCATTTCTAGCAGCAGCCATTTTTGTGTGTTTGTGTCTGTGTGTGTGTCCTGTTAACGCACGGCCAGATATGCTGCTGTCCCTGGGGGAAGTCCCACGAGTCTGACATCCTGTCCCCCTCTCCCCCATGTGATATTGGCTTAAATACTGGGGGATTTGAACTAAATCCTCGTTCAGTTTGTCGGGAGGAGGGGTTGTGTGTCATTTGAGCTCAGTGTGCATGTGGGGTTGACTTCCAGGTTGCAGATTCAGCCTCCAGCACCATGCCAGTGTGGGCCTGGCCTCCCCAGGCAGTGCCCCAGCTCCATCCTGCTGCCCCCCCGGGCAGGCTCCTCCAGCAGCTGCCCCTTGCCACAGCTCAGGAGGGAGCTGCCCTGAGCTCAGGGTGGGGCTGGCTATGGGGCAGCTCAGACCCAGAGGTACTGCTGGCATCAGCTAAGGCTGCCGCCTGCAGTGTGTGCACCGCAGCAGCCAGCAGGGGCCAAATGCAGACAGGCAAAATTCATGATTCGTGAGATCCTGCAGGCTTGGGGCACGTGGCTGCTGCTTGTTTGGTGCACAGAGGCTGCTGCCTCCCCCCAGCTGGCAGCATTACTGACTGCCGGACGGAGCATCGGGGGGAGGGGAGTCTGGGTCCCAGAGCATGGATCATCCTGCCCTGGGGAGCAGCAGTCCAAGTGTGTGGGGGGTCACAGCAGTGAGGCAGTTTCCTGTTGAAAGTCGTGTTCTGGCCAGTGAGAAGGGAAAGGAGGCAGGATCTGAGCGGGGAAGGATTGTCCGCGACCCTGCGAGCAGTCCTGGCTGCGCTAGCACCTCCCTGTTCCCTTTTGTCCTCCTGGATGGCAGCTTGCCCAGGAAGCCATGCAGAGGGGTGTCAAGTCCCTTTGCTCCATCCCGATTCCTGTCGCATTCTCTCATGTTCCAGCACCTCTTGCTGTATCCTTTTGGTTGTTGAGTTGTTGTTTTTTTCCTCTTGGTGCCTGTGGCCAATCCATTTCCTCTGAAGTCAATCCAGTTCCTTTCCTGCAGGCTGCAAGCAGGGAGACGACATCTCTGGAGTGTAAAGCCAGGCCGGGGTGTCTATTGGTCTCGGTGACGCAATAATGAAAACCTCTTGCTCGTTGGACACTCAAGCCCTTTCATCAGTGCTGCTAGATCCTCTCCGTGAGGTCAGGACAGGGCTAGTTGGGCGGGGGATGAGAGAGCGAGCTTGGGGAGGCTGCAGCTGGCCCAGAGAGCAGATCTGGGATCTGTTGGTAGTTCAGGGAGCTCTTAGATCAAGTGGTAGACATCTGCGTGTTCATACCCAAGGAGCTGGCTCTAGTCTGGTTCCCCTCTGTGCATAAGAGACTGTGTGTGTCTGCAGCACAAGAGTGTGTCGCATGAAGGCTTCTCCACTGCCCCACTCCCCTCCTATTGCTAAGCTCTGTCAATACCAGGCTGCTTTTTCAGTGCAGCGCCACGATTCTCTAAGCAATCCCAAAGCTGGTCCCAGGATCTTCTTCATCCTTCCCTCATGATTCATGAGATCCTGCAGGCTTTGGGGCATGTGGCTGCTGCTTGTTTGGTGCACAGAGGCTGCTGCTTCTCCACACCTGGCAGCATTACTGACTGCCGGACGGAGCATCGGGGGGAGGGGAGGCTGGGTCCCAGAGCATGGATCATCCTACCCTGGGGAGCAGCAGTCCAAGTGTGTGGGGGGTCACAGCAGTGAGGCAGTTTCCTGTTGAAAGTCGTGTTCTGGCCAGTGAGAAGGGAAAGGAGGCAGGATCTGAGCGGGGAAGGATTGTCCACGACCCTGCGAGCAGTCCTGGCTGTGCTAGCACCTCCCTGTTCCCTTTTGTCCTGGAGGGCGGCTAACCCTAACCCTAACCACCCTGCGCTTAGTTGGTCCCTAAAGAATGGTCCCCCATGGCAAACAGATAAACAGCTGTGGAAAGAGAGTCCGGAGCCTCCAGGATGAAGCTGTACAGCCAGCTCCCTGGAGAATGGGCCTAACGCTGCATCTCTGGGGCTCTGCCCTTTTCCCAGGTAGAGAGTCTGGCTGGAGTCTGGTCACAAGTCTGGGGGTGAGAGCCTGTCCCAGTCCTGCTCTCTGGACAGGGAAAGGAGCATGTTATTTGCTGCTCTGTAGTGGCCCCTTCTGGCCAGTAGGGGAATGGCAGCAAAAATGAGATGGGAGCCGGCATCCAGCCGTCATTACTTGAAGAAAGTTTTCCAGCCTCCAGCCTTGAGAGAGGAGGTGGATAATGCTGTGTCTAGTGACGCTGCTGTTAGGGTGCTGGTCAAAATTTGCAATCTCCCATACCACTAGGGTTTGTATAGGCTGATAACTTTTTTTTCTTGGCTGTAATATGTGTGATTCACGCAGGAGCGGACTGGCAATCAAAATAGGCCCTGGAAATGGGTTGAGAACGTCCCCTCCATGACATCACCCCTGCGTGCCCCTCAAGCCCTGCCCCTGCGTCATGTCCAGCACACGGTGCAGGCGGCGGGTCAGGCTCTGCGTGCCGCCTATAGCTTAGACGTGGAGCCGCTCGGAGTGAGGGGCAACGGCGTGCGGACATGATGGCCCACCGGATGACGGCCCACCAGGAAATTTCCGGTATCCCGCTGGGCTAGTCCGCCCCTGGATTCACGGTTGTCTTCCAGTGTCTGGCACCTACCACTGCCCTCAGCTAGGGAAGACTTCTTTTAGCTCAGATAGCTGAGACCTGCATTATTGATATACAAAGAGCAGAGTTTGACTCCTCTCTCAACAGGAGTGTGACTTTGCTGCACCTGGATTTGTTGCATTTCCTGACATAGCAGCATATGGCTGCCCAAGTAACACAGACTGAGAGAGGAGGGAGTGCTGTGCTTGGCTCTCCTCTGAATCACTGGACCATCAGTGCTGGAGAAGACTTTGTCCAGC